CTCCATCCAAGAAAAACGATCTTTTAAAACAACTTTAATTGATATCTTTTGTTTTTTACATCCCCTTCATTTCCTTTTTATTTTGTTTTTTTTATTTTACTTTTAATTTACAGAATAAAACAAGCATTTCCATAAAATAGCAAAATAAAAAAGATGATTGTACATGAAACTGTAAATCTACTATGCACAACTTACTATTCCTTTCAAATATACAACAAAATTATCATGTAAATTTTTTTCTTCCCTCCCCCCACCCTAGAGATGGCTACATTAGACACAAACAGGTGTGTGTGTATTTGTGTACACACATACGTTTATATATGCACAATTATTTATACATACTTCTATTTATTAGTTCTTTCTCTGGATGCTGATAGTGGTCTTTTTTTATATGTCTTTATAGTTAATTTGGGTATTTATAATAGATAGCATTACTTATTTGCTACCCTTCCCTTCCTCAGAGAGCCATCCCTATAACAAATAAAAAAAATTTTTAAAAATAAAAAAGAAAGAAAAAAAAAAAGTAAGTAGAATTAACCAACACATCGGTCGAGTCTGCCATTATAGGCTATGTTGTCTCTATAGTCCCCAAACCTCTGCAAAAATTGGAAAGAGGTGCCATCTTAGAATTTCTTCATTTGGACCAAGCTTGATCGTTATAATTGCATTATATTTAGTTTTTGTTTTTCTTATTGTTCTTTCCATTAATATAATTGTAGCCATTGTGTATATTATTTTCCTACTTCTATTTCCATAGCTTTGTATCAGTTCATAGAAATTTTCCTATGTTGCCTTGTATTATTCATATCCATTATTTCTTACAGCACAGTGATATATTCTGTTCCAGTAATGTATGACAGTGATTAACCATGCCCCAATCAATCCACTTTGTTTCCAGTTCTTTGCTAATAAATAAGTACTGTTATAAATATTGTTTGATGTATATTAGACTCTTCTGTCTCCGACTTCCTTCAGATGTACATCTAGCAGTAAAATCTCTAGATCAAAGGATACAGATATTTTAGTTACTCTCTTAGCATAATTCCAAATTGCTTCCCAGAACAGACTAATTCCACAGTTCCACCAACAGTGCATGAGTGTGTCTGCCTTTCCACAATCCCTTCAATAATGCCTATTTCCATCTTGTCTCACGTTCGCCAATTTTCAGTGTATGAAGTGAGATTTATTTAACTTTATTAGTGATTTATTAGTGATATTAACTTTATTACAGTTTTTATTATTCATAATTCTTTTTAAAAACCATTTTTTTACAAAACAGCTGAGGAAACTGAAAAGCAGTCTGGCAAGGACTAGATATAGATAAACATCATAAACTGAGAAGGGTTCTAAATGTATATATTTAGAAGACAGTAGAAGTAAAGGGTGGCATAATAAACAAATTGGGGGAGTAAGAAAAAATTACTTTTCTGTCAATTAATTTAGTCTGCCATAGTTGATGTTTTTTGATTTATTGATAACTGGAATTCTAAGTTCAATTGTTTCTGATTCTCTCTAGTCATTTTACAGATCTACTAAAAAATTTTTTTTGACAATATCAAATAGTTTTGATGATTACTACTTTATAATACAATTTATTCCTACATTTATTCATTGCTTCTCTTGAGATAAAAAACCTTTTTTCCTCCAAATAAATTTTCTTATTTTAGCTAACCTCTTGGTAGTTTGGTTGAAATAATACTAAATCTGATCTGTAAATTAATTTAGATAATACCATCATTTTATTATGATGGCACAGCCCCACTAGGATCAAGTAATGGTCCACCAGTTATTTGCTATTTTCTTTATTTCTGTAAAGAATATTTTTGTAAGTTTATTTTTTATTAATTTATTTTTAATTTTCAAAATTCATTTCCATAAGCTTTTGAGTTTTAAATTTTCTCCCCCTCTTTCTCCACCTCCCTCCCCAAGATGGTGTGCAACCTGATATAGGCTCTACATATACATTCCTATTAAACATATTTTCACATTAGTAATGTTGTAAAGAAGAATTAGAACCAATAAGAGGAACCACAAGAAGAAAGAAAACAGAAGAGAAAAAAAGAGCAAATGGTATGCTTCCATCTGCATTCCAACTCCATAGTTCTTTCTCTGAATGTGGTAGCATTTTCCATCATGAGACTTTTGGAATTGTCTTAGATCCTTGCATTGCTAAGAAGGGCTAAGTCTATCAAAGCTAGTCATTGTACAACATTACTGTGTACAATGTTGTCCTGGTTCTGCTCACTTCATTCAGCATCAGTCCATATAAGTCTTTCCAGGTTTTTCTGAAGTCTGCTTGCTCATCATTTCTTATAGCACAATAGTATTCCATTACATTCATACACCACAATTTGTTTAGCCATTCCCAAATTGATGGGCATCCCCTCAATTTCCAATTCTTTGCCACCACAAAAAGAGCTGCTATAAATATTTTTTGTACACATGGGTCCTTTTCCCATTTTTATGATCTCTTTGGAATATAGCCTAGAAATGGTATTGCTAGGTCAAAGGGTATGAACATTTTTATAGTCCTTGGGCATAGTTCCAAATTGCTCTCCAAAGTGGTTGGATCATTTCACAACTCCACCAACAATGCATTAATATTCCAATTTTTGCACATCTTGTCCAACATTTATCATTTTCCTGTTTTGTCACATTAGCCAATCTGTTAAGTGTGATGTGGTTCTGCAGAGTTGTTTTGGTTTGTATTTCTCTAATCAATAATGATTTAGAGCATTTTTATATGACTATAGATAGCTTTAATTTCTTCATCTGAAAACTGCCTGTCCATATCCTTTGACCATTTATCAATTGGGGAATGATTTGTATTCTTATAAATTTGACTCAGTTCTCTATATATTTTAGAAATGAGTCCTTTATCAGAGACACTGATAAAAATTCTTTCCCAATTTTCTGCTTCCCTCCTAATCTTGGTTGCATTGACTTTGTTTGTGCAAAAACTTTTTAATTTAATGTAATCAAAATTATCCATTTTGCATTTCATAATGTCCTTTATCTCTTGTTTGGTTACAAATTCTTCCCTTCTCCATAGATTATTCCTTGCTCTCCCAGTTTACTTATAGTATCAGCCTTTATATCTAAATCTTATATCCATTTTAACTTTATTTTTGTATATGGTATAAAATTTTGGTGTAAAGAATATTTTGTAATTGTTATTTATATGTCCTGAATATACCCTAATAAGTAGATTCTCAGATATTTTAAGCAAATTTCAGTTGTTTCGATTGTTTTGGATGAGATTATTCTATATTTTCTTCCTAGTTTTTGTATTTCTATTGAAATACAAATATTTTTAAATACAATACAGAAATATTGATGAATTTGTGGAATTTTTGTGTATTTTCCTACTTTACTGAATCTAGTAGTCATTTCAATAAGTGTCTGCTGATTCTCTTGGGTTTCTAAGTAAATATATGTATGTTTTATAAATATCTATCTATACACATATTGTCTATAAGTGGGAATAATTCTGTCTCATCTTGTCAATGTACATACACGCACATAATTATTTAATTTTTTTCTCATCTTACATATCAGTAGCATTTCTGGAACTTTATAAAATAATGAAGAGAGTAGAAATCTTTGTTCTACTCCTGTATTTATTGTGAAAGCTAGTATTTCTCTGCTGCAAGCAATACTAGCTTTTGGTTCTGGATGTGCACTTTTATCATTTGTTAAAATGATCCTTCTGTGTCTTTTTTAAAACATTTTACATGAATGCATCATTTTGACAAAGATTGTTGGGGTTTTTTTTAAAAAAAGATATAGATAGTAACATATGATTTCAGAGGACCTTAATGTTCCTCTCTCTCAGCTGAAATGAAACTAACAAAAAGATAAACAAAAAGGAAAATGTAGAATTTAGACTTTGGAGAAAATATATTTGAAAGACCTATGGCATCTTCTGAATGGGAACATTAAAGAACATACATATTTCTCACCACTGTATGCTACTTGTATATAAATGGGCCACATACTACAGCACATGTAATGGGAAAATTGAAACATAGAGTGCATCAGCATGCTCAACAAAGTTATGATGGCATGTCATGGCAATGCCTTGGAGAGATTTGAACATGCATAGAACATTTTGTAATTGGTTGTAATGTGTTAACCACATGTTTAAAGAATGCCTTTTCAATTGTCTTGTTATCTAGAATGATGGGGCAGGGTGGGGGAAAATGGGAAGGCACTTTCCAAAAGCATTAGTAAACAGAGCCTCAGTCATATTCCATTTTGCCCATTCTTTTTGACAGCTCTGCTCTTTGCTGACTCTTTTGCTGGTATTCTAATCAGTCTTTCTCCTCTCTCTCTCTTTCTCTCCCTCCTGTCCTCCCTGTTGATTCTACCTTCACAACATCTTTGATTATGCTTGTTATCATTGTCACTACTTTAGCTTAAGTACCTTAAGCTACCTTAAGTACCTTAAAGTACTACCTTAAATACCCCTTTTTCAAACTATTGAATCATCCCATTACAGGTCTTTCCACTTCAGCTTTCTTTAGAGAAAGGGAAGTGGTCCTAATTTTGTACTCCAGTGTCAAGAAAAGTAGGTCAGATCCTTTTTCCACATAGCTGTTGTCATTGGATTAGCATCACTTTCCTATGAGTCAGAAGGTACTTGTAAATCCTAATTTTTGTTTGATGAAAGGGAATGATCAGTGTATGGGGTTTCTAGCACAGGTCCCTTGACATTGAAGCCACTATGGGGATGAAAATTTTTGTCATTCTTACACCAGAAATTCAGCTAAAAGGGAGATCAAAAAGGGCCACCATAACAACACTACCAATTATTAACATCCACCTGAGAACTACTTGTGTTTTCCAACTATGAGTTTAGGTGGGTCATTAGTAAAAACACTGGAAACTTTCATTATAAAATATTATTTGGCTATTGTCTCATACTTCCCATCATAAAAATGTTAATTCTTTATATTTTTTAGCTGAAATTCGGGGCTTTGTGACTGCCAAAGAAAAAGATGGCCAAAATCAATACTCAGCACTCGTATCCTACCACACACAGAATCTCAGTCAGGACCATTGATGAAGATCTAGAAAGAGTTGAAAATGGCACCAGCAGGTAAGCTATGACAGTGTTTTGTGCTTAGAATGGGGGAAATAGCTGCCATTTTTCATGCATAGCTTCCAAAGACTGCAATACTGACTGAGGTAACCCCATAATGTGAAACTGCCTATCATAGGTACCAGTCAAATGAATTTCCCACGTGTACATTTGTCACCATCCTGCTGCTGGCTGCCAGGTACCTCTTAGGACGACAACTGGGAGAGACATAGGTAGTAAGGAAAAGAATAGACAGCTTTAGGCACAGACAGAAAAAGATTTCATCATCATTCAATTCTCCTTTTCTTATTTGCCTAGAAGCTGGAATTTCCCAAGCACATGACCTTATACCCACAGTGACATTCAGGAACATCCCACATTTACCTCAAGGATACCACAAAGGGAGAAAATTCATAAGTCACAATATAATAGGCCCACCACTTGCACTGCTTCTTCCAGCCTCATCTAGCTTTTCAATTGATGCCCTCAAAGCATAGTCACACCACAACTCTGCTCACTATGACATATAGGCTGGTCTGGTCAACATTATACCAGCTCCATTCCCTTTGTCTGATTTCTTAAATACCATGGCTACCTTGCAAGCCCATGAGGAAGTGCTAATGCTCACACTTCCAGTGATGGAGAAATATGGTAGGAAGAAATAGAAGAGACGTTTTTGTTTTTTTTGTTTTTTTTTACTGACACTAGAAATTTTGTCTAGCTGCTTGGAATTATGACAATTTGTTTCACCTTCTTTGTGAAGTTTGACTTACCATGTTTTCTAACATATTTCTTCCATAGTTTTACTTCATTGATTTGATTATTCAACATGCTGTCCCCTGACAGGCTTTATGACACAAATCTGAGAGACTCAAGTACTGGGGAGAAGGGAGGAGGAACCAGTATTTGGTCCATCTTCTTGCCTCTAGAGCCCTATCCATGAACTCCCTCCATCTCCTCCTCTTTGGGATTTGGGAAATAGGAGAGGAAGAGAGAGGATGAAAATGGAAAGTTAGGAGAACAGAAGAAAAAGAGGTAAATAGCACTGAAGGGAAAAACCAAAAGGGAGAGTGGCATGGCTCTTACCTACTCAGAAGTGGTGGAATGGAACTGGAGCTACCACGAGCAACGATTCTCATTTCAGGGCCACCTCCCTCCCCACTCAAACATTGTTTACCATAATATAAAGGGGTTCTATAACATGGGGAGAAGAGGATGGGATAAGAGAAGCAACAACTACGTCCTAGTATATAACAGTTTTGGCACTTGCTAGCAGATGTCTTGGGCATGGTTGGTGCTCATAGGCTTTGCATAAGCACTATTCCATATACAAGAGCTCCGGATCAGAGCTAGTATTGGGTGGATAAGACTTTTCCCCAGGGCACTGACACTGAGTCATGGAGGTTTTATTTCAGGGAGGATAGGCTTCCTAACCATAGAGGCTTCATTTTTCAGATACTTGACCAGAGAAATGCACGACCAGATCTGGAAGTGGTGCGTAGATTGGCTAAGAGGAGAGAACACAAGTGGAAATACCTGTAAGGACACTACTGCAGTAGGTTTTTTTTGGAGGGGAGCTGTAATCAAGGCCTTTATTAAAATAGTGGTAATGGTAATAAGCACGTCAGAGATGTTGTAGAGGTGGAGGACTTCATAGTTGTGTGATAAGATGAGAGAGAGATGCCAAATGAGAGAATGTCAACTGAGCCATATCTAGATGGAGAAGTTCCTGTAGGCGGTTAGAAGTGTGGGTTTGGAATTCAGAAGAGAAGTCAGGATCAGAAAAATAAATTGATAATCATTTTCCTAGAGGGAATGGTTGAAGTCATGGGAGTGAATGAGATTCGTAAAGGAGAGAATATATAAGGAGAGGGGCCACAGATAAATCTTTGAGAAACACCAACGTTTAAGGATCAGGAAGAGAATGCGGGGGAAGAGACATAGGGTGACTAATTATAGAGATAGAAGGAGAGACTTTGATGTTTCTGTTGCTAAGGGAAAAGAACATATCCATTAGAGGAGGGTGATCCAAAGTGTCAAAGCTGCAAAGAGCAAGATGTGGCTTGAGTTTAAAAGGTCATTGGACTGGCAGAAAGGTTAAATCAACTCATAGCTCCACCGGACTATACTAATACTTAGTATTAGCATACCTTTCTTCCCACAGCCAAGGTCATTAGATTTTCTAATTAGAAGGTCATCGGTGACCTTGGAGAGAGCTGTTTCAATATCATTTTGACAGTGAAACCCTAATTACATGGAGGTTGAGAAGGGAGTAGGTAATGTGGAAGTGGAAGCATCAAACGTAGACAACTTTTTCAAGACCCTTAGCAGTGAAGGAGAGAAGCGTGACGGGACAGCAGATAGATAGTAAAGATCAATGGGGGGGAGTTTTTTTTGTTTTTTTTTTTTTTTTAGGATTTTGGAGACCTGAGCATGATTTTAGGGAAATGGGCAGGAGCCAGTCAGTGGTAAAGGAAGATAGGGATAGGAACTAGACCTAGAATTTCTGGATGAAGACTGGACCTTGGGAATTTAGCAGAGGGAATTCATAAGTGAAAAAACTTCCTCTACCAATTCAGGCTGACACTTTCTCTGAGATTTATGGTCTTAGAGAGTTGCCTAGGGAACTGAGAACTGTGGGAAACCTTAAGATTAAAGAGACATTAAAAAGAAAGAGATTGAAGATATTTGACATGCCTGATAGAGTGGATTCCTAGAGGAAATAGGAAAGAAGATAAAGCATAGAAAGGTTACTACTTGGGAGTAGGGATTCCTCCTCTTCTTTGATAAGAAGGAAGGAAAATATAGGTGATAGCAGTGAGAAATTACAAAAAATTAGAAGAGGGGCATTTAAAAAGCCCAATGGATAGACTCAATCTTCCTAGCACAGTAGGAAACTATGTGATTTGGTGTAAGTATTTAGAGTGTGTGCACATTGAGGATTGCGCAGGGGTCAGAACTGAGTGAAAGAAGAGAAGGAAAATTTTGGAATAGTTATTATGAAGAATGAGATAGGGAGTCCATAAAGGGAGAGTAGAAGGATTATTGGGTAACAGCTAGGGCAGAGGTAAGATTGTATCCCATGAACTTGTTTTAAAAAATCAGCTTGATTTTATCTAATAATGCTCAGTAGCTCTGGAGTAGCTGTGAGAGAACTGAAAGATAGGGGTTACCTAAAGTTTTAGATTTGCAAGTCATGAATTACAGAAGGTCATGGTCAGAAAAGACTCTAGGGCCATGGTTAGTGAAATATTAAAGTCACCAACCAGGGAGGGTGTCAGGGCTGGGTATAGAAGCAAATGAAGCCAGATTATAGGAGATTGATGAATGGAAGGGTGAATCAATGTACCAGAAGTCATGATGTCATCAAAGTACAGGTGAGCAAGGAAAGGTAAAGAAATAGGAGGTTGTGTAGAGATGAAATTTAAATTACGAAATTCGGAATAGGTGCATTTCTATGAAAAGCTATGACTACATCAAAATGGGATTGAATTACTGTGATGAAGGAGGTTACTGGAGTTGAGGAAATTGAGGATTTTTGTGAGAAGGTTGTTAGAAAAGTTACATAAACGTGAATAGTGAAGTCCTTGATGATAGCAGGGGACAGGATAGAGAAGAATTCTGTAAGTCAGGTGCTGAAGTTTGAGAACAAGTAAGAAGAATGATCTGGGGATCGATAGGTGACAACAGTGAAGATATAGAGAAGGTACAATCAACTGTTTGGACATTAAGAGGGGATAGGTTATTGATGAATCATGGTAAGAATGATCTTAAAGTGGTGGTTGGGAGTAAGAATGGTTATCCCTCCTCCTGGATCTGTGAGTTAGAGTGAGGGGGAGGAATAGAAGTAACCTCCAAGGAAGCTGTAAGAAATATGGTGCCCTTGAGGGAGTCATGTTTCTGTTCAAAGTGAAGACATAAAAAAAATGTTGAAAAGTTCAAGGATATGGGAGATTTTATTGAGAATAGAAGGAAACTTTCAAAGGTCATAGTGGAATGGGCTAAAACATGGGTAAACTGGGATGAAGTTGGCTTTGGGAGAGATAGGGGGTAATCAGAATAGGGCAGGGGTAGTGTAGATATGTCGCCTGCACCTAAGGCAGTGGGATTTGGATAATGGGAACTATAGAGCCAGAGCAATGGGTTATATACGGTAAGTAGAGGCGGAATATTCCATCAATGACTGACTGAGAATTGATTTGAGTTAAAAACATTCTACACTTGTTTCTAGATTGAGAAAATTCATCTTTTGGAAGATGTAAAGGGATACCAAACTGATGGCTAGCCTCAATGAGGCCCCAGAGAACTTAAGGGAGTTCAGCAACTTGCCAATGGTCCTACAGCCAATCCCATCATAATATCAGACTCTAAGTTCAATGTTCTAGGTATAATCTAGCCTTCTAGTGAGATGTCAGGGTAAGAAGCACAGTGAAAATTCAGCAGTGATGAGTGATGACTTGTAAAATACTTGTCTTCCCCTAGATAACCCTCTATAAGTCACATCATATCCCTGTGCATCAGTTTACTTAATTGTGAAACAGGTCTGGATCATTCTGAAGCTTCTCCTTTCTAGCCTGAGTGAGTATAAGGGGCAGGTAGCATGTCCAGAGATGTCCTGATTCAGGTTCAGTTTGGATTTGAAGTCAGAGGTTCTGGGTTCAAATCCCAATTCCACCACTTCTTGCATATATGACCTCATTTCCTCTCTCTAGGTTCCAGTTTTTTCTTCTGTAAAATGAGGAGTTTGGATTAGATGACCTCTAAAGTACCTTTCCATTCTGGATCTTTGATCCTATGAAATTGAGATGTTAAGATCATCATGAGAAGGATACTGGTTTTAGGTTCATCTGCCATGATGACAGTAGAATTGCCAAGGTCTTTTCCTTGGAAAGGTGAGTAGAGAGTGGTAGGGCAAAGTTACCAGGCAAATGAGCAACTGAGATCACATCTTGGTCATTGTTGCTTTGGCAGTTTCGTTGTTGGGTAAATTCCACTGGCTTGCAATGTGTGATAATTGC